AGAAAAATTTCTAAGTTGTTATGTCTACATTTTTTTTAATGCTAGAAGAAGATTGTTTTTGAGACGACGAGACATCCTGGCTTTGAAAATATGGGTTCATTGCACGTTGCTTGTTCTTCTAACTTTAGGAAGCCATTGCAGGTATGATTGTACGGAAGGATAAAATATCTATAAAAAAGCTCTCATCCAAGCTTCTAGGCTTCCCCTCAATTCTTTAAAATATTAAAACACATTGAGAAATAATCTGGCAATTAATCCATCAGGATCATAAAGATACCAGACAGCTGAAGCATTGTGCCAATTAAATAACCTGCCATCTTGCTCTTGGGCCAGAGAATAAAGATGGCCCCTGTGGTAGCCTGCTAGGAAGGTGAATGAGTTGAATGCTGATTTTTTGGTGGAGTAGTTTGGGGAGAAGCTGCAGCACCCTGCAAAGGTAGGGGCTGTGAGCTGGTTCTCCTTCACGGCAGTGGTACCACCACAGACTGCCCCTATGGACTGAAACGCCGTCTGAGGCAGTAGGAGGCTGGTTCCTAGGCTGGCAAGACCAGGGCACTTAGTGCTATAGATCAAATTTGTCTTAAAATGGGTTTACAAACCAGGAGGCAGCTAACGCAAATGTCAGAGCATGAGCTTAATGAATGCGTGACAGGAAACTTCCCAGCAAGGGGCCTATGGCTTGCAGGCCAGCTGTGGTCTCCAGATGCACTACAGCTGATGTTCTCCTTTCCAGCAGCCCATGCAGCTGTCTGGGGCTTTGTATCTCAACGGAGCAAGTACAACTCAGCCACGGAGCTGAAAACAAAGTAGCATGACCTCAGCAACCTAGTGATCTAGCTGAGCATCCAGACTGGGTCCACAATGGCCACAGTGCCTCCATTACAGGGGCAAATCTTTTCCTTGCTGCATCTTCCGGGTGCTGACCCTAACCAGGCAACAGCATCATCTGCCTTGATTTTCTGCCAGCCTTCCTCCTCCTCCTCCTCCTCCTTGCAGGAGCTGTTCTCAGGCCCCATCCGTGTCCTGCGGTGCACCCGTGGAGGTGAAGGTGTAAAGCTGTGCATTGTTCTGGTCAGTGAGGGTAGTCCCCTTCCTCTCCTTGAGAGCCTCTATCTAAGAGATGCAAGGGGAGTTTTTGTGTATCTGCTGCTCAGTTAGGAGGAGCAGTGATTACAATCAACACAATAGAGAACAACTGTAGAGACTATTTTGCAGACCCCACCTCTGCATGAGGTGGGACTTACAGAAGTGGTGTGGGCACGAAGACAACACGTGCATTCAAACATCACACAGCAAGTTGAAGTCTCTCCAGTGGTTTTCAACTTTTTTTTATTAGTATAAATATTTTTATTTCCTCACAATGTCAGGTCTCTTCAAGAGCTAGTGTACACAGTGCTCAAACTGAAAAATTAGCCTGCTCTTATCCTGATATCAACAGGAACTGCACTGAAATGTAATTGTGGTAGGGACCGGATATTGGCAATAATAGCATGTTAATTGCTCTGACTCTCTGAAGCATTTTATGACTGCCTGATCTAAAAAGCCTGTCGTCTTGTCTGTGTTGTTTGTTTACTTATGAGCTAATTCCTTCCCAATCTCAGCCTACCCGAGGGTACACTGTCAATATCATAGGTAGGTTTTGAAATAAGGAGTTCCTGACTCTTTTTATTCTTTCCTATCATAAGGCACTGTCCACCCCCTGCAGACATTTAGCCATAGTAAGCCATGCTCACTATGGCTCACTATAGTAGATACAAGAGGCATTCCTGGCAAAAGTGAAAATTTGTTCAGTTGATAAACTTATCTGTTCTGATACAAGCATCCCTGCTTTCCTTTGTTGGTAGAATTGTTTCAACTAGTATTAGATCAGTTTTTCATGGGATGTATATTCACGAGAATCCGTCACCTGAAAAGACATCGGTGCTGCTGTGCTCCTCTTCCTATCCCCTCGCCTTATGGGTTGATAACACCGCTCGTCTTCTCCGTATCGTGTTGGGCAGTGATCAAGTGTGAAGCATTTATTGTGTGAGATTGCTGAGGTGCTGGACAGGCACAGTGGCTGTGGTATGGCTTCTGGTGCTCACGTTATCGGTGAAGTCCGAAGGCTTGATAACCACAGACCAGTGCCAAGGTTCTGCATTCCAAAGACAGAGGGAACAAAAATAAGAAAGCAAAGAAAGTAAATGTTGCATTAGTTACATGAACAACATGATACAGTTGAAAAAAAAGCAGTGCCCTATCTAAAAATGTGCAAGAACTTTGAGGTTAATCTCAAAGTTTTTAAAGGGCACTATTCAGAATGACTGCATTAGAATTAGACATGTAGTCTTATACTTAATAATATTATAAAAGCTCTCATCTTATTATTCAAATAAAGTCTTCTATTGTTACAAGAGATGAAAACATAAATGGAAGGAGTGTAAAAGAAGATACGGGTTTATATCTGGAATTCCAGATCCAAATGGACTTGACAAGATTAGTAAAATTTGGAAAACTAAATTGTTGGGAAAAAAATAATCTGTCTGCAGCTTAGACTCAACCGTCTGGGATCAGAAGATTTTGTGTAGTCTTTCAGCTGGCATATCATGCTGTAGTATCAGACCAGGACCGTAGTGTATAGTATGAGAGAAAGGAACCAAAGCTTTTGCAAATATTTACACAACTGGTTGTATACTGAGGTGTAGAAGTGTCCAGTACTGACCTGTCCTTTGTTTTCTGTTGGTGTTTAATCTAAAGAGTTTTCCATTAATTGAGGTGAACTTGCGTAATTATTTTAGTACACTAATACTGCTCTTAACCTGAGGCTGTGCCAAGGGCGGGCTGTGTACATAATTAAAAATATATTTTCAATATGCTCATATGTAGTCCCTCCTATGTGTGGAGTTACATTAACTCCAAATTCCTGTGAGCAAAAGCAAGGTCAGGACCACTGATGGCAGTCTGTCCACAGGACCAGAATGTGGAGCTTGTTATATACTGTTCATTTTTACCCATCAATGAACTGTAGAACAGTATCATTTGCTTTAAAACAGTTCCACACTGTTGTGGTGGAATATTTCAGCTTTTCCTAATGTCTGTGTCGACGAGAAATATTCACCAGTCCTTGATATCTTTTCCAGTCTTTAATAATTTATACACTTTCTTTCAAAATAGCCAACATAATCAGACCTGGTGATCAACAAGCTGAGCACCACAACAATTATGAAACATTTATGAAATAGCAAAAGCCATGCTTCGGACATCCTTATTTTTCCCCACATCCAAATACAGACAAAGTAACGAGCCTGAAGGCATTAAGGACTACTTGCATCAAGGAAATGTTCATTCTGAAAAGGAGACTTGGTAGATGTTAACTTTCTCCTGGGAGCCTGCAGCTTTGTCTGAATCACACGCTACTGCTTGTGGTGAATTGTGGTGCTTTCAAACTGTACTGCTGACACAATTTTGAAGTAGAACACCCCGAAGGAAAGACGATGATACATTTAGGTAATGGGACTGTGTATCCTGCATACGCTTTTTGAATTTTTCATAGATATATTTTGTGAACGTCTTGTTTAATTCCCTTGAGAGCTTGTTTGGGGAAGGGAGAAGGCGAGACAGTGGAGTTAGACCTACTGAATCTTTAAAAGCAAATTTCCAATGGCTGCCACCAAAACTTAAATTCGGGAAGCAGGTTGTTTCCCGGCAGCCAGGAATACCGTGAAGCAGCCCCGGCCTCCATCCCCCTTCCTAGAAGCGAGCTGAGGTGGCGAGAGCCCGGTGGCGCTGGCAGACCAGGAAGCGCCGTCTGTTGCAACAACTCCTTTAGATACCGGTAACTCAAATACGCATGAGGACTTCTTTGCAGGCTTGGTGCCACCTCTATAAAGCAACGTGCTATGGCCAAGCCTCTGGCACATCTTCTTTCGGTCAGTGCGTGGGGTGGGAGAGATGCAGGTGTGCCGGCAGCACGAGAGGAGGTAAGGCGCTGCCTCGCTGCAAAATGAAAGCGGGGGAGTTGCCAGCAGTGCCTGTAAAATGCTCTCTCTAAGCTCGACTAGTGCTTTTCTCCTCTTTTCCTTTGTTTTTCCCCTTTGCAGAGTCAGCCAAAGCTTTTAGCGTACTAGAAATGTGGGTGAGGGGGGGGGTGGTGGTGGTGAGGATTAGGGTACTGAAACTGGAGAGCGTTACAGTAACGTAGAGTATATGCTTTCTGTGGCCATCATTAATTTCTGTGTAAATAACCTGAAGCCGTGACTTCTGTCTTCGTATATGAAGGAGACAGAAATATATTGTTTGTGTAACATGCAGAGGACATTTTGAAATTATGCAGTGATAGTTTTTTTAAATTACTTCTGTTGAGCAGAACTAATTTGCCTTCAGTTTTGCAGTTAGTGATTTTCATAGCATCTTGTGCATCGCCCCGTGCGAGCAGTGAATCTTGCACACAGCTAGTGGGGAAGAGGCAAACGCTTTCAAAATAGGAAAATTTGACTGAATGCTGGCAGGAGCTCAAAAGAATTACATACTCTGAAGAGGTACTCTCAGTTCAGTTTTACAACAGAGTAAATGTCAGGGCAGCTGTATCCCCTTCAAACTGGGGGCAAGCACTGGTGGTGTGGCTTTCTTTGGCTTGTGCTTCTTGCGTGTTGAAAGTGATTTGTGAGAAAAATTTTGAACTTTTTGTTTGTATTTTTGCTGTGAATCCTTCATTGTTTTTGAGAACTGTTAAGGTTCATCTTGCTTGAAATTCGCACCTGAATTTTTTTCTTCCTCATTGTCACAAGTGGTTCTGTGTTACTGTTCATTATAGGATTGCTTAAATAGTCAAATTGGTTAGTGAAGGTTTTTTTTTTTCCCTTTACCTCTAGAATAGCGGTTGCGCACACAAGGAACAGCAAGGTTCAGCAGCCTCGATGTGGGGTACTCCCCATGGCCGTTCCAAAGACATCTTTATCTTGATCAATAATGGTCTGTTCTCTGTGGGTTATAAATGCTACATTTTATTTTTACTCTTCCAGAAGCATCATTTGACGCACTGAAGAATTTAAACCAACAGCACCGCAGAGCTGTGTGGGAGAAGAGGGGATTTTGAACTCAAGTGGCACAATCAAGGCTTTAGAAGTAAAGAGATTTGGAGGGTTTCTTGCCAAATGGAAGTTATCTAGAAAGCCTCTGAGACCACTGCGTTTCTCCATCTCACTTCTGCTGTGTCAAGACAGTGCTTTTGGCCCTGGACATTAATAAAATGCTGGATTCAATCAAGTGTGTTCTGGTGGGAGACTCCGCAGTGGGGAAAACATCTCTCTTGGTACGCTTCACCTCTGAGACTTTTCCAGATGACTACAGACCCACCGTATATGAAAATACCGGAGTGGACGTCTTCATGGATGGTGTACAGATTAGCCTCGGTCTTTGGGACACATCTGGCAGCGATGCCTTCAAAGGCATTCGCCCCCTCTCATACCAGCAGGCAGATGTGGTACTAATGTGCTACTCGGTGGCAAACCACAATTCCTTTCTAAACCTGAGGAACAAATGGATCGGTGAGATCCGCAGCCATTTGCCCCGCATCCCCATTTTGGTAGTGGCTACTCAGACTGACCAGCGCGACACGGGGCCCTACCGTTCCTCCTGCATCAGCCCGGTAGACGGGAAGCGTCTTGCCCAGGACGTGCGAGCCAAAGGCTACTTGGAGTGCTCTGCCCTCAGCAACCGAGGGGTGCAGCAGGTGTTCGAGTACGCCGTGCGGACAGCGGTCAATCAAGCCAAAAAGCGGAACAGGCGGAAGCTCTTCTCCATGAACGAGTGCAAGATCTTTTGAGGACCGTCAGCCGTGGCTTTGCCTGCGTTCATTATTTCTGTCTTCGCACGAAGGTACTGTGGCAGAGAGGATGGGAGGTGAATCAAAGGAGGACTCCTGGCAGGACCACAGTGCAGGTGCCCCTAGTGAGACAGCTGTGCACTCTATCTGATCTGCTTGCCCCAGAACACATGGGCACTATCTTAAAAAATGAAAGGTGCGGGTACAATACCCTTATTCACAAACCTGTGGTTGGACTTTGCTAGCCTGGGCTGGAGAAGGCCTATTCTGGAGATCTGCAGATAATAGCTGTGCTGATTTTGTTGTTGCTATTGATGATGTTCCTTAGTTGTTGGTTTGTCTGCACTTATTTAATGATGAACTTCTGCCTGGATCAACCCCCCACCTCTTGATATGTCTGTCCATGTGAAGTTTTTTTTTACTTTAAGAACTCTGTGTATACAATCTGACCGCTGTGTATTCTATTTAAAAGACTCTCGTATACATTGTTGTAAAATCCTAACAGTTTGTTTTCATTTTTTGGAGTTTCTTCTTTTAGAGGTTCTGCTAGCCACAGAAACAAATTGTCCTATCCATATAATAAATGGCCTGCAGGCAAGCCCAGCACTTCTTAGACATGCCCGAGTCACCACGTACCAGTAATCGAGTCCAGTACATCCAGCATAGGAGTGATCAAAACTTAGTGACAGTTGACATCTGTCCTGTGGCTTTGTGAGATTTGTTGCCTTAGTCTTGTTCCTCAGCGATGTGGTCAAACATGGGACAAACCAAGAGGAAATCAACCTGATTCTTCCTAGACCTCACCTGGTTACAACCCCAGAAGGGCTGGCTTAAACATATGGTTGGGGTGGCAGAGACGAATCTGTGCAGTCATCACCTCTGTTGTCCCTGCTGTAATTCTGGAGACAAAAGATTTCAGTCTCCAGGGATGGAGGGTGTTTTTTCATGAGCACTAAAATTCTCACATATTTTTAGCACACTTCTTTTCAAAAAAGTTATTTTAATGAAACCAGTCACCTACTATAGTAAAAAATTAAGTACATGGCAATGTTGAATGTGCATATTTGGGATGGCTAGATGACATTTTTTGTTGAGTTTGCATACTAAGTATAACTGCCTGGGTTGTATCAAAATAAGACCGAGACAGGGCTTGCATCCTGGGGAGCCTGGCAATTCTAAGAGTCAAATCCTGACGTACCTACATTACCCGCCTGCACAGAAAGGCAGGCTGAGGAGGTGGAAACTCCAGGTGTGTAAGAGAACTCTGCTGGGAGACATAGTGGGGTTAACACGCACTGCTGTACGTTCCTACTGAGTTGTGGTGTTCCCCTGCTCCTCAGGTTATCTGTCCCCTCTGCCCAGCACCATCTCAGATCTTGCAGATCTGTCTCATTGCAAGGTTTCTGCTGCCCGTAGAGGAAATCCCAGGGGGATTTCTTAGTGCAGCAAGATTTTTATTCTCCTTTTCCCTGTCTTTCAGCTAGCTCAGAACTGACCTTTGACGGGCTAATAGCACGGTGCCATAAAAGATGACACATAGCACAGCAGGATGATTCTCTCTCTGCATGGTTCCCAAGAGAATGACCTGTGTCTGGTTTGACTGAGCCCTGACTCATGTGTTTCAACAGGATGCAGCAATTTGTCTGATCCAAATCCAAGGTTGCACTTCAGGAGTTACCCTACTAAGCAAGTGAGCTATAGATCAGATCTTGCCTATCTATAGTTGGGTGCTGTTCTTCATACTCTGTTCTAGCTCTGAGCTTCTCTATGAAAAGTCATTCCAAATTAAATAATTCCCCTCCTTTGAATCCCAGAGGTGATCTCGCTTGTGATGTAGGTGAGCAAGTTTTTGCATTGCAAGCACCTTGAATAGGTTCATGGGACACTTGATGTTGTGATTGTCCCGCGAGCTCCCAGGCTGGTTACTATTTACCACTTATCAACCTGACTGTTAAGGGAGGCTTCTGGTGATACAAAGAGACTGGTCTCATGTGAGGTTTCATATCAGCTTTAAATCTTTACAAGCTTCTGCACCCGAGCGCGCAAGACGAGGGCTCCCATCACCGCCCATCTTCTCTGTACTCTTCTCTTTCCTACTTCTCTTTCTCTCCAGGTGTTGATTGCAAATCCTTTGCCCTCCAAAACACTAAAACTGACAGATTTGTAAAAGAACCTGAATGGCATGATATTTACGCAGAGTTACACAAGTGGCTAGGTATTCGCAGTCCTCAGTCAAAAACCTTTTGGCTTTTGGAAGAAATATGTTTCTACATCTCAACTCTTGCAGTGCCTCTTCACTGAAAGTTATGGTTTTTTGTAACCCTAATTTAAAAGTAGCCATTGTTACTGTTTGAACATTAAAGATCATATGCAAAATGTCATGTTGTGAATCTTCAAATCTGTTACAATTGTGGACATTTTTGTTCTGGTCCCCACTCCACTAATGGATTTAATACCTGGTTTCAATTTTTTTTAGTAGCCATTGTTACTGTTTGAACATTAAAGATCATATGCAAAATGTCATGTTGTGAATCTTCAAATCTGTTACAATTGTGGACATTTTTGTTCTGGTCCCCACTCCACTAATGGAGACGTGTTTTTGCCAGCATGTTCTATTAAATGGCCTTTCTTCTCTGTGGGTTAAGCTTTGTTTACAACATTTCACACTGCTGTTTTTACGTGTTGAAGAGCAGCAACTGCTAGGCTGGGATGCTTTGATGTGGTACCTGCTGCGGGATGCTGCTATTCAGGGACCAGATGGCTCCAGAGAGTTGTTGTATCAGACAAAGCCAGAGGAAGATGCACTCCAGAATCACACCATAACTGAGAATCCCATCTCAGCTGTATTTGTTTCACAGGGATTGTCACAGTGTGTTACAAAACGAAGAATTCAAGGTTTGGTTGCAATTCAGTGAAACAAAGCGACTTCCCTGAGACACCTGAACTGATGATACATGATGCACCGGGAGTTCGGGGGTGGCTTGATGTACTCTTGACGGCTTCTAGAGGCAGTGCAAGGTGTGAGGCCACTGAAAGCAGACTGATCTTTAAGATCAAATTGGAGAGAGTACAAAGCAACCAGGGGATTTTGGTTTGGTGCTATGTAAAAAAACCCAAACTGTTCCAGTTTTCACAGCCTGGTTATTTTCAGACTCTCAAAGCTAAAAGGCACTTTTCACCGGGAACAAACTGTGAAGCGCATTATTTTAGCGTCTGTAATTATGAAGCTTTCCCTGAGTTCTAAAACCGATGTGCTCAAACAGTGTGACAACTCAAATGCACTCAAATGAGTGAAATCTGGCCATACCAGAACTGGGCTGAAGATTTGGTCAAATGGCCGATCGCGGTGGGGCTTGCACAACGGCGAGGGGCCCGCCGAGGTCTCCTGTGAAACCCTGCCAGGCTGGGTTTGCTGGTGTTACTTGGGCAACGGGGTCGCTGGGTACGGCTCGGTGGTAAAAACCTGGCTCTGATATTCAAAATACATTCAAACAACAGCCGGGCACACATGTGGAGTTTCAACTTCTTTTTGCTCTGAAAAACAGCAGGTTTGGGGGGGCTGAGACAATGTGCCACTTCGGCTGGGTAGGGCTGTTCAGCTGAGGAAGGAGACCTTGCCCAAATGTTCCCTTTCTGTCTTCTCAAACTGACCCCTTTCAGTTTGTTAACCCGTTGCTAATTTTGCTTTCACTTGCTATTAATATTGCTTAAAAGTTAAAAGGAAAAAAAAAAGAGAGAGAAAATACTTGGAACTTAAAATGAGAACAGCAATAGCACTGTTATTTTCGTCAGCGTCTGACTTCTCATTTTGACAGAAAAAGTCACTTTGGATCACTAATTTTTTTTGACCGAATTCTTCAAGTCAGATAAAAAGTTGAATAGATACGCAATTCTGATTAAAACTGGAAACTATTATTATAGCAGAAAAAAAGGAAAGAATTATTTTCCTTTAGTAATTATCAAAATGTGGTGAGCAAACGTTACGCTATTTTAAATACAGATTTCCCAGTCTTTTTATACTTACTTTATCTGAAGCATAAATATTTTCAATAAATAAGTATTTTCTAAGAATAAATAATAAAAATATGCTTCAGATCTGCCCCCCCCTCCGATTTTTCATATGGGAAATTATTCAGCCTCGTTAGATATAGTTGATACTGTTTTGCTTGATATTTGCAACTAACAGTTGGCAAATATCTGTGCAATTTTTGTAGGTACTTTGTGATTGCTAAAGTGGTTGAACATGCACTAGCTGATGCTTGCCTTGATAAAGAAAATGCATTTAAAACAGTCTTTTTACACATGGCACCACTATGAAATAAATCACCACGGGGATCAGTCACGAAGAAAAAGCAATGTCGGCACTCTGACATCTCAGCCTTTCCTATTGCATTCAAGTGAATACAGCCATTAAAATAATTTCATATAAATGGGGCAATTCATGTCTCTTAGCGCTTTCTCCTAATGCCTCTGCTACACGGGGCTCAGGTTAATATACAAAGAATAAAAAGCTTCATTTCAGAACATCAGAACGGCTTGTCTGCTCTTGCCTTTGTGAGCAAGTTAACTACCTTGACTTAATTAAAAGTCAGTTCAGCAGCTGAAGAAAGCCAGATACGAGCACTATCGGGTTAGCCAAAGTCCCTTGTTAGAATAGCTCTGAAATGACGGTAATGAACTTTTGTCTCTGGCTGTGAGGAAGCAGATTTTGCGTCTCGGAGGTTTGCTTTGCAGCTGTAAGTGCAAAAAATCCTGACCATTTATTTATTAGTGTGTGCCTGCCCCAGCTGCCCTGCGCGCCCCTCACGCTGTGCTCTGAGCGGCCACTGGGGGAACAAAATTTGGGAAGAAAACAACCTTTGTGCATATCTAGATGTTTATAGTGCTGTAACTGCTTAACTGTAGCTATGGTAGCCTTTCCCCAGCCCTGGACCTCTTGCTCCATCGTGGTGCCACCAGGCAGCTGCTGTGTGCCAGCATGGTCCGTGTTCCTCGGGAGGCAGGAGGAGAGCGTGGCCACCAAGCGGAAGACATGCTCCTCGGGTCTCCCCTTACCAGGCATCACAGGCAATCGCCCTGCTCTGCAAACAGAGCTGGCCCTGCCTCCATCAGACTTCTGTCCTCTACAGCAGCACGGGCTGGAGGGCACATCTCAGCCCTGCTGGCCTCCAGCTGCTGCATTTTTGGGGTGGAGAATCTCAAAGCGCCAAACCAAACCCTGTGGCACGTCCCTTCATGAGCACCAGGAGCTGGGCTCCAGACTTGCATCAGCCGTGAATTTGTTATTAGCAGAGAAAATAATAGCTGCCCTGCCTTTCTGGTTCTGAAGAAGAAGTGAATGGGTGACGTGCTTGTCTTGGGTCTTTCACAACCGCCCGACACAGGGCTGGCCCGGGGGGGATTTCTGCCATGACTCCTCTCACCTTGGGCAGCTGTGGGTATGATTCATACCGGGGCGGAGCAGAAGGGCACCGGCCTGTGTGGGGCGGGTGGTTGTTTCTGTCTCTGGAAAAGAGGAAGGAAACGACGACCGATGCCTCCGCACGGCGTGAGGTGCTGGCTCGCCCGCGTCGGCAGCATTTCCAAGAAGCCTCCGGTGAGTGCCAGCTCCTGTGGGTGCCCCAGCAGCTCCTGGGCACGCCTCGGAGGACCATGACCACCTAGTCTCTTGTGCCAAGACCCAGGCATCTCCTCCACCCCCTGGGCTGCCTTCCTTGAAGTCTCCATCGCTGGTCAGGTACCACAAAAGGGTGAGATTTTCAAAAGAGCAGGCTCTGCTTTGAAAATCAAAATCCTTTGCAAATGCCGACTGCCCCAGAGGTGATGGAGCGTGTCTGCTAGCCACAGGCAGGGCCATGGTGGCCAAAGGCACACAGCCAGCCCCAGGGTGAGGGCAAAGCCCCAAGACTGATGCTCCCTAACTTGGTAGATGAGTTAATTATGTAGAAGCAGCTAGAGGGAGACTTATGTGTTTGATATGCCAAAGCTCTGGTAACACATAGGCAACTGCTGACTTTTCTCTTTCTCAGAAAACTCTGTTCTTTTTCTATATAAAATTCTAAGTGACTTTCTGGCTATTATCTTGACTAGACACTTGCATTTATCTGCCACGGTGACACCAAATCTGCTGCATAAAAGCCACTGTCAGCGCCATCCTGCCGTGAACAACACAGTGTTCAACACAGCACGCACCTGACTACTGGTTAAAGGATTTCATAAGAGACGGTTTAGGACTTCTAATGGGTCTTGGGCATTAAAATATATACATATACTTTAAATCATTTTGTGGGATGTGGAATTTTGGCTGGTGTCTGATCTGTCATAGAATTATGGACCAGCTAAACCAGAGGTGCAGCCTTGGCTCATGATTAGGGCATTGGCTTAGACAATAAATGCTGCTGTTTATTCTCTCTCCCATCATGCAGAGCTGGCCAAAGCCAGGTCAGGTCAACGGCAAGCTTTTAAATTTAGCATCACAGAATCGTTTCAGTTGGAAGAGACCTTTGAGATCATTAAGTCCATGGATTTATCTTGCTTTCTGTGGTTGGCTGGTGAATGGCAGGAGGATGAACTGCAGACATGAAACATTGCTGCACAGACACCTCAGCTGTGCCCGGCCCTGCTGCCGCAGCTGGGTGACACCAGACAAGTCACAGCTTCATCTGCCCCCCACGTAAAATGAGGAGATGGCAGTAACCTTTTTTTAAAGTGCTTTCGGATCTGTCATGAATGATCTTGGTACTGGTGGGTACTTCTGACTTTACCAGGTCCTAGTTCCCCTTCTTAGAAATGTTTCTGCTCATGGATTTGACCTGCAGAATTTGCTCTGAATGGATTTGTAACAGAACTTCGTGGGATTGGGGCTTTCCAGCATTTCAGTTCACTAAAGACATAGGGAGTAGGTAAGTGTAAGGGATGAAAAGAGAAGGAACAATATATAATGATGCATTAATTACTATTTGAACAGATCCTAATCATGGCTATCAACATAAAGCCCTTTTTAATTGTACAAAACATGAGTATGGGCTGAGCTAACACCCAATTCATCAGTGACATGTTTAGAAATCAAATTGTCCCTGAGTGCTGGGAGGGTGAAGCAGAGGGAAGGTCCCTCCACACTTACCCCTCTTTCTGGAGCACACTCTTACATCCCCTGTAGTGACTGGACGCTGGGCTGATCTCGATGTGTGCTACAGGGACATTCTTACAGTAAGGATTTGGTGCTCACTCAACAGGTCTCAGTGAGATGTCATTGATAATGTTCCCATTTTCTTTACGGGTGAACAGAAGAGACCGAACACAACCTGAGCAAGAATTTAAGTTTAGCATGATCATGGAGACCAGCCATGAGGTGAGCA